TGGTGTTGAAGTCTACTTAATTGTAACATCTTTTATGCCGAGTTCATAGAGTATAATCTCGTGGCGCTGTTTTATTAAGATCTTTGAACCCCGACCACCCGGCTGTTAAAATTAAAAAGCTAGTGGCCTCTATGCAACTCATCCCAATTAAGTAAACTTGTGTTTTATTGAACTTCAAATCAGAAAAGGACGCGGCGATAGGTATATAAGTTTTATATTCTTAACGCATAAAAAAGTAAAAATAAATCTAATCTTGAGTTTTACATAATTTAAAAAAAAAAGCATTCAGTATTCAGTATAAAATTCGATTAGAAAAAGTACTATTTATGTATAGAAAAATTATTTAGAAAACTTTGCTGGGCAGCTTTTTGACCAATTAAATTTTAATCAAACTAATAAGTTTCAATATCAAAATTTAATTCTTATTTTGTAAAATATCTTTCAATATTTCTATCAAATTAAATTATCTATTTAGATAAAAATTCCTATCATTTTATTTTCATATTTCAATTACGCGGCCCACTCGGGGTAACTTTTAATAAAATTCTTTTAGGACTTCTTGTGGGAAATGTCTCTTTTAAACCAATGTACCTATCTACTTTATAAAGTAGATTTTTAAAATTAAAATTAAGACCTCCGCCCTTACTTTGCTTTTGTCGTCGAAAAACAAGTTTATTTTTGGCTTTGAACATCGGAACTTTTTTGCCGTTCTACATATAGAACTTTTGATACTTAAAAGAAGTAAAAAAAGTTTAGATAAAAATCCGCAGTGGAGTAAAAGTTTGTTTTGGAATTTGATACGTTTTCAAAATACCCGGCTATAACACCCATATATCATACAGTTTGTATCAGCCAAATAGAATATATTCAATAAAAAATAAATGTGTTTGAAACATCCATAGACTTAAAATAAAATATAGACTGAGCATCTCATTCATAAATAGCTGGAACATGCGGTCAGACACTGTCTTGTTATTGTTGTGTTATTGTTTTAGGTTATAACGAGTGCGACACGAGCGATAGATAGGTTGTCTCTGTCGTAACGGTCGTTCCCTGACGACTCTGCCGAGAAACACAACACTGTCTTTCGTTTCTCAAGTACACCTGAACTCTCCGTATCATAGCCGGGTAATTTTTTTTATTTTAATGAAGCTATAATTAAATTAAAAATATATCGTATTTAAACTTTTTTTATATTTTATTAAGATTTAGGACAGGTTTTTAAATAAAAGTTTAGAAAAACAATTTAGAGTCCAAAAGGATAAAAATAATAAAATACACGTTATAGAAGAAATTTTATAATCGAAATTAGGTAATTTTTGAAATTAATAATAAATTATTAATTTTAGTCAAACATTTACAACCCCTAATATTAATCAAAACAGGATTTATTCCACAGATATAATAGAATCGGCGACAGGAGAGAAAAAAAATATGATTGTTGTAATTTTTTTTTCTGGTTAAGTGATGTCTTATTATGTAAATTAGAGAAAACATAAATCTGTTCCATTAAAGCAAGGAAGGTGATAGGAAATGGATAAAATAAAAACTACATTTATTTAACTCGGTACTGTCTTTATTATACCGGGTGCGTCTCAAAAGTGGCTCATCCCCATAATTTTTTTATATTTTCAAATAAAAAAACAAGATTTAGTATGTTAGTATATGAAATAAATTAGGATTGATTTACGCATTCAATTTTATGTCATTTATATGTCAACTTTTGACATTTTCGCATATGGTTTAATTGTAATTGTAACACGCGGTTCATAACAACAATTTGACTCGAAATACCAAGTGTGTGGTATCAATATATTCATAAAAAAATGCTTTTTCCAAATATGCTAATGAGTCACCCTTGTTCCATTTGAAAAAATTGACATATGTATGATTAAAAATACGATTTGTACATCTTTTAACCGGCCTAGACAAGACACGAAACCTATTAGACGATCAAAACTATTTTTCCAAGGCTCCTTTATTAAAACTTAGTGGATTGAAAAAAACTGGATTGAAATTTAAAATAGGATATGTTTTTAAGCGACAATGTCAAAAGTTGACATATGATATGTCATTCTATTCCGAGTGTCATTTTTTATCGAATAAAGTAGCAATATACCGAGGATGCCTTTGAAAATCAAAAGATGTAATCATTTCGGTGAAACAGGAAGAGACCAAAAACAATTGAATACGTCAATAAATCCTAATTTATGTCATATACCTACTAACATACAAATCTGTTTTTTTATCTGAAAAAATAAAAAAAAGTTATAGGGTTGAGCCACTTTTGAGACGACTATAATACTACAGTAATATTAAAAAATATTGTTTCATAATGTAATATCATTTTAAAGTTCTTGTATGTTATTTTAGATTCTGAAGATAATTTTAGAATAAACCGGAATATATTTTTAATAAAAACATTATTAATTATTAACAGGGTTATAATTATGATTTTGTTACAATGTAAGTAAGTAAATAATGTAATGTAAAAGAAAAAATTCAGATTTTACATTTTACTAAAATATTATCTAAATAAGCGCCTTTCTACAACAACGCCACTGACTCCCAATGGGTAAATTGAGAGTTGCCTACCGGTCAAAAGTCGTTTCAAGACTTAAATGGATTATTTAAGTCAAATTTCTTGCAAATTTGGCACTGGCGAACCATATTTTATAGTTCTTGAACAGAAAAAGTCAATAAAATAAACACTTAAGCACTACAAGCTAAGAAAATGCGTTAATACAGCCGGGGAGATAGCGGCAACAAAGCTTTACCGCACACGTGCGACACGTACTACAAGGTAATAAATGAATGAATAGGCTCCCTCGCCTCTAATCGGTGTTGTCATATTGTAAAGAACTTATCCTTTTTAAACAGTATCCGACTTATAATTTAGTAGTATAAGGACTATTTAATACATCTCTGGAATATTAAAACCTACTTTATTAAACTGTAGTATTAATATCTCAATATATGTGTATAACAAGAAAAAAAATATTGATAATATTAAAGACGTGACAACATAGGCTGGATGAGGAAGGCTCGGTCGACTGTACCCAGAAGTAAACATGTGTACAAAAAAGGTTGTTTGTCCGCGTTGAGATGTAAATAGTGTAGTCTATATTTTATTTTAAGTCTATGGAAACATCTCTCGGAAGGTATATTTGAAATAAAAGAAATATAAATTTAGTAAATAATATTTTATTACACTTTAATTAAATAAATATTTCGTGTAAATTGAAATAATAACCTAATAATAAATTATTCTTATTATCACCAATATACAGGGTTGTTCATCACATACGACACGGAGTATTGTAGCTAAACGATGAGATTTTTACAAATTGTAAGTTTGGGGTTCGTTGAAGGACTATTAGAGCTACAATTTAAAAATATTTTTACAAGATACAGAGTGTCCCAAATAAATAAAAAATATCAAAGTTGTATTTTTTTAAATGGAACACCCTGTATATTATTACATTTTTAGTTTCTACGATTAAAATAAAGGCAAATTTGATTACGATTTATTATACATAAACCTTACCGTTTTTGAAGTATTTTCAATTTTGTGAAATTGCAGTAAAAATTTTAAGGCTTCATTTCTCCAAGGGTATCAAAGTTTTTAATACTAAATATTTCCTGTTGTTTATCTACTGATCAGTTATTGTGTTGCAATAATAAAAATAATACTACCTTATACAGAGTGTCTAAAAATTTATTTTAAATAATTATTAGCTTCAAACGGCAATAACTTCTTTAATTTAAATAGAATGCCCTGTATATTCTAGGAGAATCAGATGCACAATTAAATTGTCTATCAAATTGTATTATACCATTTTTTACCTATCTATTCTTATAATTTAGATCTCATTTATCAATATATCCATGGAATATTGACATTTTAGATTGTTTTTAAAGCAACAAATGTACAAAATGTACAGACTAGTAATATTACTAGCCCATTTGTATGCAAAAAGAAAACTATTTAAATCTTTATAAAAGAGTATACCATTAATTAAATATAACACCATTATTTCCGCCCATATACTAATTAATTACATACTTAATTGTGTTCGTTAATAAATTATTATAAATAAATGTGGATTTGAGTCAGAAATCAATATAATAATAAGTTATCAAATTAAAGTCTCTGTTGTTATAAATAAGCATTTATTAAAAAATGAAATATCATTTTTAAGGTGTTACTTTTTATCACATTGTCTAATGCCCATACAAAATTCAGTTTTTTAGTATTTGGAGCAATTATTATTAATCAACGCAAACAGTCAGTTAATGTAGTTTGAATACTGGAATCATATTAATTGGTCTTTTTAACAAATATTTAAACAGTTTTTTTTTTAATTTTTTAATGAAATAAACGAATTATATCGACAGTATTAGTATCTGTACTCTTTAAAAATTTGGTACATCTTTAAAAATAATCTAAAATGTCAATAGTCCATGGGTATATTGATAAATAATTTCTAAATTACAAGAAAATGCATTTTCTACGGAAACTTAAAGAGATAAGTCAAAAATGGTATAATATAATTTGATAGACAATTAAATTGTGCATCTGATTCTCGTAAAATATACAGGGTGTTCCATTTAAATTAAACAAGTTATTGCCGTTTGAAGCTAATAATTATTTAAAATAAATTTTTAGACACTCTGTATAAGGTAGTATTATTTTTATTATTGCAACACAATAACTGATCAGTAGATAAACAACAGGAAATATTTAGTATTAAAAACTTTGATACCCTTGGAGAAATGAAGCCTTAAAATTTTTACTGCAATTTCACAAAATTGAAAATACTTCAAAAACGGTAAGGTTTATGTATAATAAATCGTAATCAAATTTGCCTTTATTTTAATCGTAGAAACTAAAAATGTAATAATATACAGGGTGTTCCAAAAAAATACAACTTTGATATTTTTTACTTATTTGGGACACTCTGTATCTTGTAAAATTATTTTTAAATTGTACCTCTAATAGTCCTTCATCGAACCCAAAACTTACAATTTGTAAAAATCTCATCGTTTAGCTACAATACTCCGTGTCGTATGTGGTGAACAACCCTGTATATGTCTCTTCACAACAAAGTATTCGACTAGAAAACAACCTTGTTAACGGAAAGACACTATGTCTAAGAGTAATACAAACAGACAAGAACACTATTAATAATTATTATTGACATATAATTGGAATGCTGTCCCATCTCGGCATCGGATGTAGTTTGGGTCACTGAAACAATAAGAAAAATATAAGTCATTATAAAATATAAAAACAATTTTATTGACAATAATTATATTTTATTAAAAATAGTTATTCATGATATAAGTGCTAAAAGTGGTATTTTATTTTGTGAGAAGGAAAGCTTGGGATACGACGCCGAGGCGGAGTCTCCCATCCCTTCGAATTCACTTTTAGCACACATATCATACACTATTTTTTCTACAAACAAGTTTATGCTCATATATATCAAGGTATTATTACTTTTTACGCATAGACAAACAAATAAAAAGAGACTGGCAAATTAAATGGCAAAGAGAGGGACAACGTTCCCGTAGCGCAACTCAGAAAATTCAGAGTAAAACAAAAAATATTTTTCTGTAGTAAAAGACTGTGAAATACGCCCCGCCATCTGGTGCTTTACATCCATAAACGTCTTATGTTGAGCTACTTTAAAAATTCATATACAAGGATAGAACCCAGCATGACAAAACATATTAAAAATTCCATTTAATATTCTGTAATTTATGATGATATAAATGCATTTGTATATTGAAAAAAAAGTTCCACGAAAATAAACAAGTTCATTGCAGTTAAGATTTCCTATATTTCAAGATAGGGAAAGTTTGGAAGTTTCTATTTAAAGTTGAAACTTAAGAAGGAGGTAATAGGAAAAGCTTCAATTATTAAGTTTAGTTGGGCACAATGACCTTTTGAAACTTTCATTCATTATCCTTATTTACAGAAAGTATCAGCACAGCTTAATATTAATAGAAATTCTAGTTTTAGCGGTGGTCTAATTAGCAAAACTTCAACGGAACTCTAGTAAGTTTTTGTCGTTAATAATTCTCGAAAGAAATATTAATATCTTTCTTTGCAAAATATATATATTATACCGTATGATCGAGAAAAAACGGCGTCAAAGGCGGCTGGGGAATGACTATCGATGCTATTTTTGACGAGATCGAACTCTGCTCAAAGTTAATTAACTTTATTTTGATTTTTTTAGTTAATTAAAATTCTTCTTCTTTTCACTTTAAAGATCTTCAAAAAAATTAAATTTTAATTAAAATGAATACTAAATGTAGAAAATCTAGAAGACAATAGTAAGTTTCCGGATACAGAAATCTATATCCAAAAAATATTTTTTTTTTCTGATAATTTGAACTATACCAGTTTTAATTAATAAAAAATCTATATTAGGTAAATCCAGTAAATCGTAATTAATACTAAATGCGTCTTTAAAAGTAAAGAAGAGAAAAATCAAAAAGGCTCTAACCTAACAATCGCCCGTCCCAGTTCCAGGCATTTCGATAACTCGTTAACAAAAATCAGATTATTCTACTGTTAAAATGTATGGATTATCCTTTTGTAATTGTCTAATACACACTAGACCCTTCAGATTTAGTAAAACTGTAGCTGTAAACCAGTTATGTGTGTTCATTACTATACATGGAAGAAGTATCGTGTTTATCAACAAGGTTAATTGTAGGCCTTTAAATTTTGCTTAATATGGTCATATTTTGTAATATTCAACTCATAATTGTTGATACTTCTGATGGATGATGTTCAATTTTATACATGTATAAAATATAAACACACTAACTTGAAGTACTAGAAACGGTAAGGTAGGATATTTTTACGAATCTGTATTATTACTTTTTTACTTATAGAATATCTACAGTTGTGTATAACCTCTAAGAAACAAATTAAATGAACAAAACTATGTCCAAGAAATAGTCTATTGTATAGAGGATTTAAGGAAAACCTTAAAATGTTTGTACAATTTGTTTTTGAATTTCTTCTAGGTTACTGCATCTTCGGTCAGTGAAAGTAGAAATATCATCAGCAGTTTTTTCAGTCCATAAGATTCAACATTTAAAAATACAGGGATACTTAATCATTAATTAATCTTAATTATTCTTTTTTGAGATATAGGCACTATAGGCAGCAAAATATTAGCCTTATAATCCCGGAAGCTGTGGCCAATAAATTAAATGATAAATAATTGTAAATTGTTTATACATATATAAATCACTTGTTTTAAAATAAAAAATTGGCATTTTAAATTTTATATTGTATTTATTTATTAAATGATAAAATTAAAATATTTATATACTACATGATCTAACACTGTAAGTCTTAGTTTCTTTGGTTTGGTTTACTGTTTGCCGAGTACTATGGGTATAGTTCATTAAATTAATAGATTCTTTTCTTATGATTGACATATGCATATTAATTGTTTTCTTAAGTTATGTTACAATGAAACTCACTTTATAAACAGTATAATATAGGTATTTATTTTCTTTCGAATGGTATTACAAAATATGTTTTACTGTGAACCCTACTAATTAATATACTATGCCTGGTTCAAGAGTCTAAATCTGTACTTATTACATTATCATTTAATTTAATAACAAACCTAAAATATTTGTCTGCGACTTACTAAAAAAAACAATTATGATTTTCGAAAGTGATTAATACAGCTTTTTGTAAAATTATACATTACTTCTTGATGTATGTATTATATTAATTCATTTATTTACTTAAATTGTTCCAATGTGTATATTATTTCCTACAATCTACCAGTAGTTACGTTAAAAGTTAAGTATGTAAATAAATGACTTAGGAGCCTAAAATTATTGAGATTAAATAACGTAATATATAAGTAAATAAAATTGACAATACACCAATAAAATATTTTAGCAATAACCATTGATTCCTGCATGGAACTTTACTTGAACACAGCATCACCAATTTTGTTTTCATTAAATTCTCTATGCAATAGATTATTTCTTGGACACAGTTTTGTTCATTTAATTAATATGCTTCTTGGAAAACAGAAACTTAGGCATACACAGAAACAGATACTCTATAAGTAAAGAAGTAATAATAAAGGGATTCGTAAAAATAACTATCTCACCTTATTGCTTCTAGTACTTCAATTTGGTTTGTTTATATTTTATATATGTATAAATTGAACATCATCCACCAGAAGTATCAACAATTATGAGTTGAATATTGCAAAATATGACCATATTAGGCAAAATTTAAAAGCCTACAATTAATTTTGTCGATAAACACGATACTTCTTCATCAACTAACGGATTATTTACTGGTATTAAACACACATTTTTATTTACAGCTATAATCAATGCAATATTAGTAAATCTGAACGGTCTAGTGTGTATGAAACAATAATAAAAGGCTAATCCGTACATTTTAACAATACAATAATCAAAAATGTTGTCGAAACGTCTCGGTCGGAGGCTTGTCGGACGACGAGATTTAGTTAGGTTAGAGTCTTACTGGCCTTACTCTTCTTTATTTTGAAAAAGGCGTTTACTGCATTAAGGATGATTTAATATTAGACTCTGACTGGCCGTCGAAAGGCGCGTGGTCATCGTGAAACAAGAAGAAGAAGAAGAAGTGCAGATCGAAATATTTGAAAAAACAATTTTTTGGAAATAGATATGTGTATCTGGAAATTTTCTATTCTTTTCTGGTTTTTCTATATAAGGTATTAATTTTTGACAAATTTTATGTCAGTTCTCAGTAACTGACGTCTAGAGTTCTATCTCGTCAAAAATAGCATCGATAGTCATTCCCCAGCCGCCTTTGACGCCGTTTTTTCTCGATCATACGGTATATAAACTTGCGTGCATAAAAATCGGCCCACTGTAAACTTTCGACTTTAACTGTGTCTTTTAGAATCTATTTATCAGACCAAGAAAAAAAAATTGAGCTGTTTCAAAGACAATTTAACATGCTTTAATATGAGTATAAATTTATCCAAAGTACTTATCGTTTATATGCGTAGCAACGGGTAAACAATTGAAAGACATTTGTGTTGTGGTGACAATAAGAATAAAAAACTTATCAAATACTGCAATTACTACTTTACTGTTACTTTGTAATCGAAATTTGCCCATTGTTCTTTCATTGTTTGATTTGTTGTGTTTCATTGTTTGATTAGTGTTTCAATTTAATGCATACATCACGGAAGAAATTCAATTTAATGCTACCAAAGAAATCGCTTTAATTGAAAATGGACTTAAACAGAGAGCTGTAGCTCGGCAACTGCATATGACACGCGGAGCGGTTCGAAGAGTATGTGAACGATATGAGGAGACTCGATCCTTTCGTAGGCGACCTGGGACTGGTGGAAAGAGACATACAACGGATCGTGATAACCGCTTTATTGTGTCAACAATATTAAGAAATCGGCGTCCTAATGCTATTCAGGTGGAGCAACAGCTCCATGAAACACGAGGAGTGACTGTTAGTCAGAGAACAGTAAGACGAAGATTGAAGGAAAGTAACATGACCCCCAAAACACCCGCAATTGGTCCAAAACTTAACCCAGCTCATCTTCAAACACGCCTGCCTTTTGCACGGAACATCTGAATTGGCCACTAGAACAATGGGAATGTGTTTTATTCTCAGATGAGACCAGGATATACCTCTATGGTAGCGACCGAAGAAAAAAAGTGTTCCAGAGGCCAACATACGAGGCATGTTTTTTAAGTAAGTACCGTTTTGCGATTCCGCCGCCGCAGCGCTACGGTCGGCGTTCCGCGCATGTGCGCTGGTTACCTACATCTCTTGTCTATGCACAGACGCCAGTACAGTCTGATTCTTCATTGTATACGTTGTCTATTGAGTGTTTAAGATGCCTCCGACAATCGTGAGCCCCGCCGATTCTGAAGTACGGGCTGTCATACGATTTCTTAGTGCTAAAGGCGTAAAACCGATCGATATTCATCGTGAGATCTGTAAAGTTTACGGACAAAACATTATGAGTGATGTAAGGAAATGGGTGAGAGCATTTAAAGATGGCCGCACAAATGTGCATGATGAAGAACGGAGTGGGCGTCCTTCGGTCGTTAATGAAGATTTGGTGCAGAAAGTGGACGAAAACGTGAAAGAAAACAGACGCTTTACAATTTCATCATTGTGCGACTACTTTCCTCAATGTTCTCGTAGTGTTTTGTATCGCATTGTGACCGAGA